TGAATCAGTTTATTATTGCAAAAAATTATCAAAACGAATAAAATTCCAGATTTGCTATGGTAATGAATATCTGAATATTTTTCTGTATAAATATTTGTATAATCATCAGAAAATCTCTTATGAAAAAGATTCGGAATTAATATAGATATAAAATACATTTCTGTAGAGGATGAAGCAAATAAATGTCGATTTTAATTAAAAATCGAACTTATATGTATTTAGTTGAATGTTTCTTCTACAAGTTTTCTTTATTTCAAAGCTTAAAAAAGCTTTATTTTTATTTAATCTTCAAGAAACACTAATTGCAAAACAGAACAATATGTTAAGACCATGTCATGCAAATTGTAGCTAGTTGCATTGTAAATTCAAATCAGAAATTCCTTTATGTTCTACTCCCACACTGCGTATACGCAACGCAAACTTTTAACAAGGTACTGTAGTAATTGAAGTAGGAAAATGGGCACAAATCAAGTCAAAACAAATCAAATTAATTTGTTTGCTTTATTACTTTGACCCAGTGGCTTAGACTGTAATGGAATTGGTGGTGGAGGAGGAGACCCAAAGGGGACAGCGTGTTGAGACTGACACCAAATGGCTGGCAATTTGCATACGAAATAGGCAAAAATTGGCAAAACTGAAATTGCAGGTGAAAAAAAGGAAAGCCCACTGGCATAGGTGAAATTACATAAAAAGGCGAGTGTACAAATAACAAATTCGAGCCAAACAAAATGATTGAGAGGCATAAAGACACGCCATCGAGTCATCAATAGGACAGGCCCCGATAGCCAACCAATTTCTCCTCCGTCTTCTCCTCCTCGTCAGTCAGTCGTCCTCAAGCTCCCCATCAACTAAATCCCAATCAGTCAGCGAGAATCAAAGCACAAATCAGCGCCCGACAAAAGTCAAATTAGAAAACAGGAAGGGCAAGAAGAATGGGAAAACAACGAGAAATAAATGGGGTTTCAGAACCAACAAATTAACACTCTTTCAATGCATTTGAAGTCTATTTTAAATACTTAAAAACACTAAATATTTAAGAGATTTTTTATTAACGTAGAAGACTTTTACAATGTCACTAAATTTGGGATAATATAGGTAATGGATGTTGTTTGATTTTTAAATCACCTGGTAAAGTGCCTTCAATTATAATTAAGAAAATCAAATTAAAGGATTATGAAAACAAATGCTTTTTTATTTTATATTTTATCCTTAAATTGTAATAATATATATATTATAAAATGTATTCCTCCCATTTGCCATCTTTCTCAATTATCATCAAAATACCCTCCGTTAGTGTACAAAACAAAACCAGAATTCATGGACAAATGAAGCGTCAAATTAGAAAATAATAAAAACAGAAAATATACAGCAAATCTATAGAAAATAAGTATATGAAAATATATACAATGCAGGGGAATGGGAATCAAAACAAAAAACAACAACTGCTGGAGATACTTGAGCCGGAAGCTTGCTTGGTGGCAGCAACAACAATGAATCAAGGATCCGGGGAGGATTCAAGGATGCAGCCCCGTGAAGACAGCCAAGCGGCAAAGATAAACCCGCATTGAAATCGCCAAATGAATGGGAATATAGCAGAGACTGGGTACGGGATTGAAGCGCTGAGGTGGGGTTACGGCGGATGGTTGGATGTTGGGTTGCCATTGTTATTACTGCTGTAATACGCTTTGCGGGGAGATTACAATTTCTGATTACTTTGTTATTAATAAACACAAAAAGCGTGCCAAACACAGTGCCACCCTGCACACTCGTACAGCCCCAAAGATGCAGGCTGACACATTGCGAGCACATTAGTTGATCGACAATGGAAGTACTCAGCTGGAGAATACTTGGCTCCTACTCACTGAAGTATGGTTAAATGGGATTGGGAACAGTTTCTAGTTTGAGAGTGAGGTTTTGACAGGGAGAACTAAATTATAGTTATTTCTAAATACTATATACTCGTATTATTCAAAAAGGGGTTTACATCATGAATAATAGGAGTGGAAATAAACCTTTAACTTTAAATAGGTCTACAAAAATTTCTTTAAAGATCTAAGGCCAGCTAAATGTAGATTTTCTGAATGTCTTATTAAAGCACAAAAATCTTGAGACACTGCTTTAATTTTTAATAAAATCTCACAATGCAGAATAAAGGATTTCCCTCATAAACTAAACTCATCATACCTTTCCAATATCTGTGAAAAACCGTGAACAATGTCATTGCCCATCCCTCCTTCCTCTCAGCCAGGAAATTCACCGCCCCTAAGCTGCCTGTCGGCGACGCGTTTATTTTATCATTTTTGTGCTTTGTTAGGCAAAACGTTTTATTAATAAACTTTTCTGTGCCGAGGCTCACAACAAATACCAAACAACAACATCGGGAGCCCTTTTCGAGGGAAAATAAAGGAAAATGCATTTTATGTGTTTGTGTGCGTGTGTTTGTGTTTGTATTTGTTGTCGAGGAAAATTCAATGAAGCTGCTAAGCCACACAGCTAGTTGCCGGGGACTCTGCCACTGAATTGATCGGACGGAATTAATGGAATGACAATTGCAAAATGTTTAACAAGAGGCGACACACGAAGACAGATTTAATTTGTTACACAACAAAAATGTTGGTAAATTAATTGCATTTTAATTGTTTTCACTTTGGAGCGAAAGAGCTTGGCTGTATTGCGGTTAAATTAAGTGTGTTTAATTCGTTTTCTTTCAAGGCAATTTGCCGGTTTACAGTTATTTCGGTTATTTCCGTTTATTCAATTTACTTTGCAATTTTAATGCGGACTTAATTCATATTTAATTTTGATTTATTCGAGCCGTTGTTGCCATGTTACTTGAGCGCTGTTCTCGGGTTCATCTTTATTCACTGTGGGACTTCGTTTATGTTAATTTTGATTTATATTTGCTAATGATTTGTTGCTGTTACATTTACGGGGTTTTTGGGGGTGTGTTTTGTGAGGCAAAAAAGAATGAGTAATTTTTGCTTATCTTGAAAATGTTTTGGGTGCCTGAGTTCGTTTACGGAAATTTTGAAATGTTTATAAATTAACATTAATATTGCATTTTGTTTGGATTTATCGTGCAATTAAATTGAGTTGCCTTTTGAATTATGTTTGTTTATTGTTTGAGAGAAGGCTGAGTTGAGAATTCAAGGAGCTTGATATTTCAGTTATTATTTAATAATTTAAAACGTTTATTTAAGACTTTAATTATTATAGTTTTTTATTAAGGTATTAGGGTTAAGAGTTATAGTAAAAATCATTGTCAAAGAATGCATTCACCAGGAATTCCTTAAAAATAATTATGTTACTTGGGTATTTTTATTTTTTTTATTTTATTTTATAGGTAAACCCCATATACCATTATATTATAATTGTATTTTTCATAGTATTGCTTAGTAAATTTATTAAATAAATATATTATTCCATCTTTTTTTGACAAATTAAGGCACTTTTGAAATTTGTTGACCTTTTTTGTTTTAGTTTTTTGTCTTATCAGTTTTGATCTAGTTTTTCATTGTTATCAATCGTTGTTTATATTTATCTTGTATCACATCTGCTGCTCTGCTCCCTCACCTTTAGCACACTTTCACTTTGGGATTCACTGGGTGATTTTCACATATTGCCAGGAGAGACGGCGGATTCCTTTTCGATGGGACATTATCTTGAATCTATGGCCCTTCAAACGATTTTCACTGTTGCTCAGCCGTGTATCTGTGTCTCACTCGCTCGCACTGTGTCTTCTTTAGTCCGGCCGCATTTTCCGCTTTTCCACTCCGATTCTGCTCCGTTTGCATTCGGCAATATTTAACCCGCAACTGACTCGAATTTTCCTTGGACCTCGCCTTTTATACGATTTTCCCTGTAGCCGCTTCGTCAAATATTGAATGGCCAAAGCTTCGGCAGGCTTTTCCTACATTTTCCGCAAGCTTTTCCCGCGTTCAACGCTTAACGAAAAATGGGAATTGGCTTTCAATCAGAGACTGTTTACAGGTGTTTGTTTTGGCCCCGATTTATTTGAGGTTTATGCCCGCCTTCCCTCCCCCAAAAAAAAGGAAAACAAAAATGGGAAAGAGTGCAATGCACTTAAAGCTTCTTCGGGGTTAGATTTTTATTTGTTTTTGATATCTTGCGCAGCGGAAAATGGGGTAAAAGCGGAAAGAATGTACAAAATGCCAGCCACTTGTTGCTTCGACTTGATTTTCTTTCTCCCAACGCAGCGCTTTTTTTCTCCCTTCTGTTGCTGAATAATTCATAAGTAATTCAACATCGACGGGAACATCCCATCTCGCCACCGCCAGAAACATAAAAATCCCATTTATATTTAGGCTCAACACAAACACCCTCCGCCGGAACCCGAACAGAAATAACATTTAAAACTTTTCAAATATTTATACGGCCAATTGGAAAATTGCTGAATTATTGAACTGGCGTGAACTTGTCAGCGGGCAAAGTTGCGGAAAACTTTCTCGAGATTGGTTAATGAAAATGTATGCCGAGCGCCAACACGTAAAGACAACAATAAAACCCGGCCACGGGCGGCAACAAATCAATTGAGAGGGGGGTAGTGGTGGAGGAGCTGCAAGGACTTCAACGACGACGACGACGAGGACGACAGTGTCTTCCAGAGAAGAGTTCCCTGGCGTCGTTCCGTGCGCTTTGTGAAAACATTTTTCTAATTTCCTGTCATCAATATAAATGAAATGTTCACGGCAGCAATCGACTTGTTAATGGGTATCAGAGGGTTTAAAGGGGTATATTGGGTGCTAGTTTTACCATATTTTAAAAAAGGATTCAATATTTAAGTACCTTAAAAACAGAGCTAATGTAGGCATAAATCTTCAATGACTTCAATGACTGTTAAATAAAATATACAAAATATATGATAAATGTTCAATTAAATGTTTTTATTCTAAGGTACCTTCAAGTCGACTCCCCCGAACCTGTCCTTGCCCTTTCCCATTGCGTGTGAAAACCATCGATGTCGGAAAAGTATTTGTCTATGTATTTTGTAAAATTAAACAACAATTGTCGCACAGAACAGAAACAGAAATTCGTAGTGGAATAATAATAGAGGGAGTGACTCAATGGTGGAATGGACTAGAAGCGGAGTCGCTTCACAGAGCGATAGTGGTAACCATCATCCAGCAGGGCGGAGGAGTCCTCCTCGCCATTGGGCAGCTCCTCAACGACAGCATTTCCATCCAGGGGCGGCAGATACTCCTTTACGGGCAGCAAATCAGGCACCACCGAGGGCGTGCGGTAGTGATAGCCATCGTCCAAGAGAATGGCAGACTCCACTTCCTTCTCCTCCTTGGGCGCCTCCTCCACATGCTCCAGGGTCTTGGGCACCACATCCTCTTCGGGTTCTGTAATGACCTCCACTTCCACTTGTGGCTCGGTGGCAGCCTCTGTGGTGGGCTCTAGAGTGGTGGTTTCCTCGGGAATTATCACCTCAGTGGTGGTAGCCACTTCTTCCTCAATTACGGGCGGCAGGTACTCATTGCTGGGAGGCAGATAATCACGGGGTGGCTGAAGCACATGGTTCAGGGTAGCCGCATGCTGCTCTACTGGTGGCAAGTAATCACGACTGGGCACAGGGGGCAGCACCACTGGAGGCAGGTACTCCAGCGGCAGGTGGCTCACATCGCGACGCACCACAAAGCGGCAGCTGGCCAGGCTTAAGGCGGCCAGCAGCAGACACAGCACTTGGGATCCTTGCTGGAATATATAGAAGAACTATTTTTAAAATATTTTTCTTTGGGGTGCGAAATGTCTTTTATATGTCAAGATCACTCATGAGTTTTGATTGCGAAAATATCACTAGATTGATACTAATTGATCTTCACTTAATAGTAATTTTGGCAACCCTCTTACCATATTTCTTGTAACTAAAACGTTCGCTTCACTTGCTCTGCAATCTGGTTCTGACCTGCTCAATCTCTTGGAGCTGCGGTTGGGTTTTGCTGCTGCTGTTGAAATCGATTTAACTATTTATACAAAAAATTAGCGGGTACCACTAAAAAAAGTTCGATGGCCAATCGAACGCAATCGAACCGCATTAACACATTTGACGAAACACCTTTTTGGGCCTGGCATCTTCAAACGTGTTCGACGCCGGCTTTTTCGGGCCCTGGCAATGGTCATTGATCGGTGGTGAAGAGACCCGGAGATTGGAGATTGGCGATCCGAGAAACTGAAACCGACTCGTGTGTGTTTACCTATTTGCTCTGCACTATTTGATTGCCGAAGAATCTGTCAATATTTTCGTTAGAGATTACCCCTGCCCATGGCATGCCAGCGCCTCATTCCCTTCCGCCATTCTGCAAACACAATTGAAGCTGATCTTTTTCCTATAAATATAGTATCTATTTTTTGTCGGGGGGACCTTCGCTGCGATTTCAATGTCGCCGTTGTAAGACCCCAATGTCAAGTGTTTTGGGGCATTGTAACAATTACACCGACTGCAGGTCGGCAATGACTCGGCTGAAAAATACCTGAAAATATACCTCTTCGATCAGAATGGTGTCGGAGAAGTCACGCAATGGGGCGATGTAATTTGTTGCTGCATCATCCAACAGCAATTAACCGACTTATCGCACTTGACCGGCTCAAAAAAACATAAAAAAGAGTGGGTTAAAAACCCCGATCCCAACGCTCTTCAACCGTCTAAGTCCGCTTAAGATGAAATTGAAAACGAAACTCTAAATCGAAATCGAAATCTGACTCAAAAACACAAAGAGAAAGAATGAATGAAAGCTCTATGCAAAGAGTAAAAGCTGGGAATATATTCAATCAAATGCCATAAACCAAGCGAAGCTGTCACAAATCCATTTACCAATAAAAATATTAGTCTACCAATCTGCAGCAGTCGAAAAAAAATAATACAAAAGGATATGTTTTCAATAAAAAAACGAATCACAAAGCCAGAAATACCCTTTAAGGATGAGGATAAAGTTTATTTAGTTATAAACTATATGATTATGTGACCCACATTTAAATTTAATTGATATTAATAGGAAGTATAGAGACACAGTGCTAATGCATTGTTTGTTTTTAGACTAGACAGGAAGTCAAGTCCCTGATTTTCTTTCAACTTCTTTTTTAACACAATTTGTTTTTAAAATAAAATATAAATTTAAAAAACTATATAATGAATTATACAAGTTTTTTAAAACTCGTAGACAACTTTACGATACCACAAAAGAAAGACCAAAAGTGCAAGCAAATATATATACGCCTTCACAAACATTTTTTATGAGACAAGGTGTGGGCCCTTGTGGTTCCAGGTTTCATGCCACAAAAAAGTCCAATACTCACTTCTTTTTTCCTTCCTGCGAAGAGCAAACAAACTGAAAAAAGTAAGAGTAAAAATGGCTGAAATTTTTTTGATCCGCCATTACGACCAGTCCAGAATCAACTACCTCCCTTTCAATTCAATGTAATTCTTATATTTTTTTGGCTGGCTACGCATGCCGGGGATTAGTACAAATTGAAAAATTTCCCCACCATTCCCAGAGCAAGGTATCTGATGGGTTTTCCCTGCCACCTGTTTGCGTAATAGAAAAGCTAAATATTTAGTTAGGAATTTTAGCTGAACTGCAACCGCGCGGTTCAATACCTTTCGGTCTGTTTGAAGGCGAGACTACTATTAGATTTCGCTGCAGAAATGGCCTAAAATGTTCATGAAATTCTGTGTGCTTCAGTGCAGTTCCTGCTAGTAGCAGTAGTTTTTGCAAATGGCAATGTGTTGACGGGGGTAAATGGCAAAAGCGAATATTTGTTCAAGCGCCTGCCACTCGGGGCGGTCGCTGGTAAGCAACCAAAAACAGCAGCAGCAGCAGCAGCAGCATCAGAAAACCCCGAATAAAACAGGAAAAAAACATTTATTGGGCAAACCAAGAGGGAAAAACTATTCAAATTCTGGTAATGGTCCAATCGACCGGGCCATGTAGAGTGGCAAAACTTCCTGAGAGCGAACAATGAGAGATTTAGAACAGATTACCGCCTCGGGCAGGAGGATTTTTAAAATGGTTTTGGTGTAGAAAAGAAAGCTCTTCGGGATGGAGTAATATTTTTGAAAACTAGTTTTTACTGATGGATAATTTGAGATATGAAACAAGAACATTTAGCAACAATTTTGCTTTGAAAATATTATGATTAAACTATCTTTTTAGAGAGTATATATAATATTAAATGTATAAATTGTTCAAGAGAATGAATGAATGAAACTTAAAGGGAAACTCTAAATTTAGCTGCCATAAATGAAACAAAATATATCATAGCCAAAACTCAAGCCTGCGTTGGTTACTCTAGCTTACAGGATTTTCATATTTCATTAACTCAAGTCCCAGGTCCCTGGCCTCTCGTTTCCCCCAAGATTGCAGCTTTCAAGTAACTCTTTGGCAAGTCAATAGCCCTTGCCTCCCTTTTCCCACACCCCAACTTTGATTGATGTTTGCCTTCTGTTGGTCTTAGTGTCATTTGCATGCAAAACTTGTGAACTTCGAGGCACATATAAGCCAGGAGGGAGGTGGGGTGTAGTGTATAGAAAACTGAACAAAATGTAATCATGCTATGAAATATGCAACAGATGTGTAAGGAGAGAAGCTGCGGAAGGGGATTCGCAGCAGGAAGGACGAGCTGGGAGGCAAGGCAACAAATTAGAAGCAATTCACGTGCCTGTCAACTTAACACATTACGCTCCAATTACGCGTCTCCGTACGGCAAAAGATACGGATACCAATCGCAGGATGGCAGGCTCCTCGAATATCACTTTCCGCATAATAAAATCAGTCGGAGCCCGTCGCCTGTCGCCTTAGCTTTGCAGTTTGGCAGGATCGCAAAGGAGTCGCCCAATCGGCTTGGGAAATGCAATGCATACTAAGTAGTCGACGCCTCGGCCGGGAGGACATCACTTATGCAACAGGCTCTGCAGCAGGAACATCAAATCCTGGCCAGGGGAAAAGCAATTCAGAAAGGTGTAACCCGGAAAAAAAAGGGAACAGGTTTTTATGACCACAGGGAAAAATTTAATTACAATTTACAGGTTGGCCTCTGTCAACCCTTTTTATGCGGAAGTGCACTGAGGGAAAAGTTATACAAGAAAAGTATAAAAAATAAAAAAATTATATGCCATAATTTGTATAATATTAATAAGAAATAACTTTAAGGTATATTATTTTTATGCTCTTATGAATTTCTTTTTTAATTCATAAAAAGACCAAGAAACTCCTAAACCTGTTTGAATAAATTACATACATTTTTTAAATATCTTAACCATCTTCCCCTTCAACAAATGGAAAATTAAGTTACAACTTAAACAAGTAAAAATCCTTAGATTAAGGCAAATGGCCCAGAATTGTCAAGATAAATGTGTTAATTGTGTGTCTCCAGTGCTTGGCATTGAACTGACCCCGACTGAAACTCAATTAATTTTGAATTCCTTTTGGCAAAGTGTTGTGCCAGACAGCCCTATCTTTCCCCTTTCCCCCGCTTGGTTTATTTATTACATTTCATTCCGGCTTTTCTGATGATTTGCCTCGATTCTCTTGGACTTTTTCGGGTCGCACTGTCAAAGCGAATTTAATTGTCTCAATTATGCGCTAAATGTCGCCGACTTCCAGCAGCTTCCACCAGGACTCCCAGGACTCTGGAACCCAAATCAAGCCAAGCCAAGGTCAAGCGGGTACCCTTTTCTCTCGGGGGTATTGAGGAACCAGAGACGAGGCGACGACAAAGCAACTTCATTGAAGCAATTTTCACCTCCTTGAAGGAGTCTTTACGAGTTCGTTGGACCCAAATGGAGCGAGGCGAATAATCAAGTGACTTACTAAAAAGTTAACGCAATTTTGTGGCAACTTCAAAAAGTTTCGTCAACCCCTTTTCGCGGGCAGCCTCTTGTCTTGTTCTGCTGGCCTCAAGGAATCTCGCGGATGCCACCCCTTGTCCTTTCTCCATCTATTCGTCTTCCGTTTTCTATTCCCCGTCTCCTGGCCATTGTTTCTGTCGTCGCCTTCACGCTCAGTTGCATGCACTTTTGTGCCTTCATTACCAGGACGCGAAAAAAGGACGAAAGGCCTTTGGGCCATTGAATACAAGTTGGTTAGTTGAAAGTCGTTAAAACGCTGTTTGTTGGAGAAATTCAAGACTGAGTTGGCTGTGTTTATAATTAAATTGTTTTTATAATTAAAATTTAGAGAAAAATAGTGTTGCATTTGGTTTTATTTAATTAATTGGGTAAAAGAAAAACCTTTTCAGTAAAAAAACGTTTTAGATTTTATTTATTAAACAATAAATTGAATTATTATTGAATTTATTAAAAAGTCCTGCGGCCTAAAGTCGATTATAATATATCAAATTAAACAATTTAAAAGAGATTATATAACTAAGATAGATGTCCACTCATGTATAATATTTTATGTTTGCAGTGGCGATGGGTGGGGCATGGCAGTCGCCGTGTGAGGGGAATAATTTATAGCGGGAAACGGCAAAAAGAACAGGCAGATGGCATATAGGATATGTTAAGCCATAAATTGTGCTGGGCTCATTGATTCCAATGTGTGTGTGTGTGGGACTTTTGATTTCGTTTTTATACGAATGTAAAACTTTTGCTATGTCTATTTGCTGTCGGAATGCTGTGCTTCCTTGTCTGTTTGTTTCACAGTCAATTTGCATGTTGGGTCAGTGAAACGAACCAATGAAGAGTCCGGGCATTAGGGATGGCACTTGAAGGTTTATATTTCTAACAAAAAGTTTTAAGGATGCCTAATTTAAGTAATATACATTTCTATTAGATTTAAAAAGGATTTTAAAGTTGTTTTTGTGGGTAGAAATGTTTATAAAAGATGTATTTAGATATTTAATATCTTGTAAGTTTAATTTAATAAGAAATTATAGTATATATACCTGTTATATTATATTTTAAATATACCAAAGGAAAAAACTTC